AATTGGCAGAAAGTCAAAATTTAAGCAGTAATTTTCCAGTGCCAACACTTCTTATTTGTTACAGTTTTCTTCCCCTGATACTCCTATGATTTTTTTTTCAGATCTCAGAAATTTTCTGTCTTAAAACACACACACACACACACACACACACAGGGAGAAGAGAGAGAGCATGAGAGACTTTCTGCCTGTGCTCATAGAGCCGACAATAAATAAAGGGTTTCAATGACGATCAAAATGAACATGGACTGTGATCTTATAGTGCCTACAATCTGGAAGGGAAGTCAGCATTATCAGATAAATGCACAAAGAGACATAAAACTGCAACGAGTTATAGTTATATGGTGCTATGAGAACACATAAGAGAAGATAAACTGGTCAGGAACAGCAAGAAAGGCTCCATTCCGAAGGTGACTAGCTCTTTGAGATACTAGGCAAAAAATAATTGGGAGCAATGACCCCCGCAGGGAGAAACAACTAGGTGCAAAGACCTAGGCGGGAGGTCACATGACAGAGAAGAACCTAAGGGCCTCTGTGCCAGGAATACACAAAGAGAAGGGAGCATCTTGGGATGAATTGGGCACATTTAGAAAATTGCTAAACCATGAGAGCATGGTAAGCCATGACAGGAACTTTGTCCATATGTCTTTAGAGAATATGACGTCTTAATCTTGTCTTCTGTAAAGCTCTCTTTGACTGCCTCTGGAGAATAGACAGAATAGGTGCCTCTGTGGATGTGAGTAATAAGTTAGGAGCCTCTAGGGTAGCCCAGGGGAGACATTGTATTATTTGGGTGCTGATCGTCCCAAATGGACAAAAGTGGATGAATTCCAGAAGATTTTTTTTTAGGTAAATATGACCAGATTAGGTGACAGAATTTGTGGAATGAAGGAGAGAGGTGACAAGATGATTTCTGGAATTTTTCTGGGATATTGTGAAGTCATATACTGAGCTCAAAAATATCAAAATAGTATACTTGAAAAGAGAACCAAGTGCTTAGTTTGCAACATGTTAAATTTAAGGCACTTAGGTAATAACATGTATCAAACTGGACACAAAATTCATACATTCATGAGAATCATTACAAAGTTTGCTTTCTTTGAGAAATTTTTATACTCTCTTCTTATCAAAAGGAGCACTGCATAGTATAACATGTTTCCTCTTTGTTCTACCTTTTGGAATTGAGATTATTAAACCTAATTCATGTAACCACCTTAGTATTCATGGTTAGCATATTATGATAACCCTAATTTCCTAACTACGTTTTTGTGGCTTAAGTGTCTGGTATGATTTCAAGTATATAAATATATACCTAAAGATATTAAGCATAAAATAATCTATCTGGCCTGGTGGGGCAAGTCTCAGCGGTTGAGCATCGACCTAGGATCCAGGAGATTGGGGTTCAATTCCTGGTCAGGGCACATGCCCGGGTTGTGGGCTAGAAAGCTGATCAATGACTCTCTCATCATTGATGTTTCTATCTCTCTCTCCCCCTCCTTTCCTCTCTCTGAAATCAATAAAGATATGTTTTTTTAAAATAAATCTATCTGGTTGAGAGAATATATAGTTTTTAAAATTATTTCATAGAGGTAGTGGAAGAATAAAAAAATTGCCCTGACCCACATGATTAGAGGGTTGGCCTGCACACCAGAGAGCTGAGGGTTCGATTCCTGGTTGAGGACAGGTACCTAGGTTGCAGATTCGATCCCTGCCCTAGGCTGGGGTGCACATGGGAGGCAACCAATCCATGTGTTTTTCTCTCGCTCTCCCATCTTTCTCCCCCTACCTCTTCCTTCCACTTTCTCTAAAATCAATGGAAAAAATATCCTCACTCCTTGGGTGAGGATTAAAAAAAATAAAAGAAAAGAATAAAAAGATTAATGTTTATTAAAAAGTACTAGGAAGTATCAAATGATATGTTTGTCATTATTATGATAACAAAACACTGTCAATTAATGTTATCAGAGTTGATTTTTATTTTATTATTATTTTTTAAATATATCCTTATTGATTTCAGAGAGAGGAAGGGAGAGGGAGAGAGAAACATCAATGATGAGAGAGTCATTGATCGGCTGCAGCCCGCAACCCGGGCCTGTGCCCTGACCGGGAATCGAACCCCGATCTCCTGGATCCTAGGTCGACGCTCAACTGCTGAGCCACGCCCGGCCGGGACAGAGTTGGTATTTAAAAGTCTTAAACATTAGGCAATTTGTTTCAGAAAAATAAAAGTATTTTAAATATTATATATTCGATGTAATTAAACATACCTTAATATATAGTAGGCATATTAGTTTTGCAGAGTGATCATCATTGCGTTATGTGTATAGTGAACTAGCTTTAGATACATACACACCTATTTACACAGGCATATACATCTCCCGTTTGAACATTAGTGTTTATTGTTTAAATTTATCAGTGCTTTAGTTAAACAAGAAACAACAGCAGAAACAGACAAACGTACTATTTTACTGGCCAAGACGAATTGAAAATGCCACAGTGAGAAAAATAATTGTCATAACATCCACCAACTCTTGAACCTCCCTGCACTAATCGCTAATAGATATTCTATTGCCTCATTACTGTACCACTTCTCCATTCATTATTTCCTCTAAGAAAGTTCCCAGTATTCCATTTATTTTTTTAAAGGGATTTAATGGATGTGCTATGAATTTTCAATGAGCTATTTGAAATTTGGGGAACCTAATTAGGAATGTATTTACTTTTCTCTTTTTTCAGGGTGATTAATTCCATGCAAGACTTTCAGCCTAATGTTACTCCAAAGAAAAAATAGAAAGGAAAAAGGAGATTCTACTTCTATGGACTAATGGACTGGTAATTAAAAAACTGAATTAAGCATCAACTCAGAAGAGACATTTTCAATATATAAATTATTTCTGTTTAGCCTTCTATTGCCAGGTTAATTAAGTAAATCCTTTGGCCTTATTGCCATTAGTAAATGAAAATGTATTTGAATTAACTAAGTCTTGTGATTTACACAAGGGAATCTATATCAGTAAATATATTTCCTTTTCTAACAGCTTTCATAAAATCAGATGTTTTATTTTTAAAAAGTCAGCCTTATTCATGGAAAACAAAAATTCATTAATTATCTAATTGTTTGGGCAGATAAAATCTCTGGAGTTTCTTGTGTGGTGGTCTCTAAGAAACAAACTCTGTACATTTTTATTTTTCCAAATGTGTGAAATGGCCTCAGGCTTAGACAGGTTCCCCCGTTTCCTTAAGGAAAGTAAAAAATAAAAAATCTAGAATATCTTCCTCAAGTTTCTTTATTTAATAAAAAGCTCAAGGACCTAAGCAACAAAAGCAATTCTTAAGATAAATGAATAAATCATGTACCAAAGGAGTACAAGTTAATAAAATATACATAGAAGAAACCTACACTAAAATAATGACTTCAAATCTGTCTTCTGCATACTTAGACTAATCATTTTACACTACAGTTATAGTTACAATAAATCAATCTCAATATAACCTAATATGTCCTTTTTGTTTGTCTCTTAAAAGTAGCCCTTCCACATTATTTTGAGCACACTAGCAACAACATGCTGGCTGCCTGTTTTAAATCTTATGTAATCTATAGCACCAAGATTCAGAAATAAATTCATAACAGCAGTCTCTAAGTTCTCTGAAGGACACAGACATTTCTGTTGCTGGTGTGCTGAAGCTCTAGTATGCAGCAAAATAAACTAAGGCTATTAAGTGTCTTCTACCCTTTCTCTCAAGACAATTTCAATTGCTAGGCACCTGATTACCAAAAGACAATCTCAGCTACAACAAACCTTGCTCTTTATAAAAATACACCCATATCATTTTCTGTTTGGTGACATTTTAATACAAATATATCCTTAAGAGTAGCAAGAGACACCTATATCAAATATTTGCGAGAAGAAGGGATAAAAAGAAATATATCAAATTTAAACTAAGTAAAGTATAAAAGTGGCAAAATAATAGACTCATAAGTATGGACCAGGAAAGTAAGGACTTTTCCAGAGAAATTGTCTTGACTTTTCAAATCCTGTGAACATAAATGATTATGTAATTGATGCATTTATCTGATTTACCTAGAAATTAGAAAGCCCCAAAATATACATGTAGCTGGGAATTTGCCTCCTGATTTCAATTCATGTTCCTATATGTAATTTCCCTTTTCTTCAGTTTTTTCAGCATTCATATTTATAGGCAGCCATAGTCTCCTTCAGCAACATGCAAAGAACATGTCACTCAATAATCCAACCAATCAGAAAAAGCACTATTTCTCGTTCCACTCAGTAACCTCCATATAGCAACAGAGATCAAAGTCATAGAATAAGTGTTTGATTTTTTTTTTCATACTCACCTGAGGATATGTTTATTGATTTTAGAGAGAGGAAGGGAGAGAGAGAAAGAAAAACATCCATGTGAGAGAGAAACATTGACTGGCTGCCTCTCGTATATGCCCCAACTAGGGTCAGAATCCGAAACCCAGGTATGTGCCCTGACTGGGGATCAAGCTCGCAGCCTTTTACTGTATTGGATGACGCTACAACCAACTGAGCCGCACTGCCCAGGGAAAAGTGCTTTATTTTCAGAAGCAAAAGGCCAGGGATTTTATTTCATCTTTACAAATCATTAATCAAACTACTTAGATGAAATACTTGTATTTTTTTTACTCATATGCAAACATTATTATTTTAATCTCTCCCTTGTCTGTTCCTCAAAGCTGCAAATATAAATTATGACAATGCATTGTGAAGCAATACTAAAAAAAAATCAGAAAATTACATAAAGGTATAGGTCATTGACATGAAAAGTTGTAGATTTTGTGTCTCCAGAAAGATATTACTAAAAAAAAAAAAAAAAAAAAAAAAAAAAAAAGAAATAAAAAACAATCAGTGAATAATGCTGGTTTAAATTTGTACATTACTTTGCAAGGTTTTTAGTAAACCTCTCCTAAGTGTTTTTAAACCCACTGGCGATTAACAAACTGAAGGCAATCAACTTACTTCTGGAGCCAGAAGAGTTCCTCACCACTGTGAAGGAGTCAGCACTCTGCCTGGCTGCTGCAGAAGACTGACAGGGTGAAAGCATCTCCAAAGCTGAGTCTGAGGATGGTGTCAGAAGTGAGGGTTCTCAGCTACTACATGGCTTCCCAACACCTGGCTGAATGGTTACAGGGACTCTTCAAAGGAGACAAGCACAAAAAAAGTGTATCAAAATATGCTTAGGAAGTATCTTTGATAAATACAGTTGCTGTTAACTGTGGGATCAACCTCAACCTGTATCAGGAATATCACTAAATAGAATTTAAATTGATTTGCATAAAAAGGCTTTCCAGTGGAATGGGCAATATGCTCCGATTCCAATAGATATGCCAGCATTCTGTTTTTCACTTTTGGAAGGAGTCTTCCTATTTCATAGTTGAAGATAGTTCAAACAATCAACAGACATATAGTTCAATTTTATTTATTGCATTTGCACTAATTCAACCTATAAGATAATGTTAAAAATATGCCTTAATCAACGAATGTATAATCACCACATACTGTGTATGAGATACATGACACTGGGAATATATCACTGAAATGAAGCTCTTAAATCCTGCCCTCATGGAGCTAATAGTCTTATGTCGTGTTGCCTACATTTTCTTCAATTGAGAAAACCTGTTTATTTCAACACATAAGTCTATGAAGAAAATGCACAGACATCCCATTGATATTTTAAAGTTATGTCAGAAGATTACTGATTTCTACCTATTTCAAAGGGTTCCATGTCAATCTAAATAATAACAGACCTAGCTCTTTGAGACACAATATTTAACTCTTTCCCCTAGATCTTTATAATAGTACCAACTGATATTCAACTACTATCATTCTTAATGCAGAAATGGGCTGAACTTATAAAAATGTTCTTGAAATGAATAAAAGCATTGTTATTTTACTAGGCTATGACTTATCTCATATGCACAAGCAAAAGTGAGGAATAATATAATTACAGAGAGTAACAATAAAAAAAATCAAAGATGATACAAAGATAACTCAGTTTAAGTTTATTGTTCCTGCTGTTTCCATTTGTAAAGATGTGTGAGTGAGCTTACAAAGTCAAAATTTAAGAGAGTGATTATAATGTCCTGAGATACACAATAATTAGGACTTAATTTAAAAAGAAAGTTAACTGATTGCTTAAGTTTGTACTGAAACTACTCAGAAATGCTAAAAATCAATGCTTAGATTAATGGTAAAGCTTAATAAAAGTAAGTTATAGTTTATTTCAAATTATCTTTGAAAGTGTGTCAACAAATGCTCTTTCAAAAATTATATTATAAACAATGTTTATTATGATAATAGAATAATTCATATGACATACACACAAATAAAAATTAATCATATGCTAACCATTTTGAGACAGCTATTCTTTGCCTTTTCATTTTCTTTCAATGAATATTTTAATCTAATTTTTACATTTTTACATGCATGATAAAAATACAAGAAATCTGGAAGTAATCTCCCTCCAAAGCAAGACACATTCCTTTCAGAAACAATTTCACATTTCAGTACATCCTCTCAGAAATGGTTCATGCATATGTAGAGTATGTGTGTATAGATTTTTATACAGATCTAAGAATACAGTACCCTGTTTGTCCTATGCCTTTCATTTAACACATCATAGAGATCATTCCATTTCTGTCTTCTATCAGCAACCCCATCCATTCTATCAGTAAATATCTCTCATATGCATACAACATAATCTGCTCACGTGTTCCAATTGAAAATATTTCCAGACTTTTGTTATTATAAAATGATATAACCAATGTCAATATACATGTATCCATGCACACATGAGTGAATACATATATAATAAAATTCCTAGAAGTAAAGTGTTTAGAATAAGGAGCCTCATTGCTTTTGAAACTCTATGTCCCCCTTTCTGTAGTAAAGAGGCAGTATAAAGCAAGAGTGAACTTGAATTTATAATTGTTTTATATTATCGCATTATGATAGCAAAATATAAACACTTCCTATAATTATTCTAACAACAACAAAAAGGATTGATGACCAACAATGTTTACATGTATCCACTTTAGCTTGAAGAGCATAGTAACTGCTATAATTCTATCTAAATTCAATTCCCCAGATAAGGTTCTTTTTATGTATGGTTGTATTATGTATCAATGATAACATTTTCCTTTTTATCATATCTTTTATTAAGCACTTAATATGTGCCAGCTATGTAAAACATGTATTACCATTATAAGGTGCTTGTTTTTAGTCCATATATTTTGACCAGTGCAACACCAAAAACATCTTAGATTGGGATTCTAACAATGCAATTTTTCCAGTATTTCCTTTTCTTCTTGATAGCATGCTGAAATAAAACATCTCCTAAGAAAATCTGATCAATTCCTTAATTCCAAGTTGTTGCTATGTTGGCCTTATTACATAATCTTAGAAAATCTGGCAACAGTTATTGCTTATGTACAAGTATTCCCAAGAAATATGGTTCTCCCTCTAACGATTATCTTGAATGCCAATAATAAACTCTGAAAGAACTCAGGAAACTGGGCAAAACTCTGGAATTTATTCAGAATATATTTTATAAAACTGAGACTCATGACCCCTTCCAGCCCCTAACAGTACTTTCTTTCCCTCTAAGTGTTCATCAGTTGTCTGAACATTACAGATGCTCCTGTACTTGCAATGGGGTTATATCCCAAAAAACACATAATTTAAGTTGAAAATGCATTTAATGTACTAACCTACCAAATATCTTAGCCTAGCCTACCTTAAATTTGCTCAGAACACTTCCATTAGCCTACAATTGGAAAAAGTCATCTAAACAATGAATACACTGTATAGTATTAGTTGTCTTCCCCTGTGATTGCCTGGCTGGCTGAGAGCTGTGGCTCATCGCCAATGCCCAGCATCATGGGAGAGTATCATACCACATATCGCTAGCCCAGGAAAAGATCAAAATCCAAAATTCGAAGTACAGTTTTTACTGAATGGAATCACTTTCACACCATCATAAAGTCAAAAAATTGTAAGTTGAATATCATAAGTCAGGGAACATCTGTACTTTGATTCCTATTTCACTATCAGCAAAGGCAGGACTTTAAAGTCTTATAAACCTTAGTAGAATCATAGAAATGACCATATCACTCAGTTTTTCTTTTAAAAAGAAAAAAACAACAATAATATTACAAAAAAGCTGTAATTAATTCAAGGCATAATATCTGAAAGTACCAAGCATGGTGCTGTATTCATTGTAGGCATGCAATAATTTTGTTTTCCTCAGGAAGCTTTTCCTAAGGTTGCCCTGAGTTTTAACCCATTGAACACAAAAAAACCGTGAAATATCTGAAGATAACAGTAATATGATCTAAGCATTTCCTTCAATTTAAAGTTCCACTGAGTTTGAACAATTATAAATCCACAAAATGGTATAATTAGCAATCTCTCTCCACCTTATCTCTACTGGTACAAAATAAATAACATGAGGGCGGTGTCCTACATTAGACTTTAATTGTATTTACCTTGTGTGAAAACAAAAATTAAACATTTAGTCATCCAGATGTTTGATGAAAGTCATGCAAAAGCCAGCTGTTTTGGAATATATGAGAAAATGAATCATATGGTTTCACTGCAACTCATTCACTTATTTAATAATCATAGAATAATATAATGTTTGACACAATATGGCCATGATCTTTAGTGGCCTACTAAAAAAATGAGGGTATAAGAAATGCTATTTTATTAAGAGAAATAACTTTAGTCCTGGACGGTGTGTCTATTTTTTGAGTGTCACTCCATGCACCCAGAGGTCGCTAGTTCAGTTCCCAGCCAGGGCACATGCCTGGGTTGCAGGCTTGATTCTTGGAAGGGGGTGTGCAGGAGGCAGCCAATGGATGTTTGTCTCTTACCGATGTTTCTCTCTCTCTCTTTCTCTCTCCTTCTCTCTCTCTCTTCTCTCTCTCTCTTTCTCTGTCCCCCTCTCCCTTCCTCNTCGATGTTTCTCTCTCTCTTTCTCTCTCCTTCTCTCTCTCTCTTCTCTCTCTCTCTTTCTCTGTCCCCCTCTCCCTTCCTCTCTTTCTAAAAATCAATAAAACATGTTTTTTAAAAAGGAGGAATAACTTTAAAAAAGTTAGACAAGAAATATAGAATAAATTTGAAAATCACTTCACATTACTGAGTTTTTAATGCATAAATATGCAGAGGGATTCATATGACTGAATATGAAAATGCATTTGTGTTACTGAATATAAGTATAGTATTATATACTCAGCTATAGGAAAATGTTTATAATTATTGTACACATCCAGGGTCATATGACAAATAAACTAATGTGCCACTAGAGCATTTATTGCTTAATGTAAATGTCACATTGTAAATGATAACTAATCATCCATTCCTCTAATAGCAAGAGTTCAGCAGTTAAATAAAACATAAATCTTGGTCACCTAAAACTTTTTATTACTACATTTGTAATTTCCCATTAACAACTCAAGAAAATAACTTTAAGTGATGGGTATATTTCAATAAGATACAAACTAAGTTGAAGGGCTTTTCTGAGAAGGGCAGAGGATGAGTAGAGGTGGGGTTGACTCTGAAATATTTTTAAGGGTCTAACTCATTCACTAAATTTCAAAGTGAAAATAATGGATAGTTCAATATAACAAAACAGATACTAGTTAGTAACTGATTTAGTGAAGAAACAAAATGCATTATCATAATTTGCCTTAATTACAAAAAACTTCTATTTACTAAATCGTGGTTGCAAAATTCTAATACAAAAAATAAATTTAAAAAAATGTAAAATAAGGCCTAACTAAAGATTGGGCCTACCTAAAGATTATAAAGCTAATGAAGTATTTTTCTTTATATAACTAATATTTTCTTAAATGACACAATCAAAACATTATAAATAGTGAGATAATTGTTTAAATATATATATGACTCCCTAAATAAGTTTACTCTGCTAAAAGTTTTCTTGAAATTTCCTTGAATTTCTAATTTCTGGAAACATTTTTTTTCTTCCATGAGACAAGTTTGATCGGCACTTTTTATTTTGTAAGCATTTGCTACCATATTTATTTACAGGTGAAGAGCACGACATTTACAAAATGTATTTTGTACAATCAAGTCTGCACTGTCCTCACAAATTGAGGGACTAAGGAAGACCTTG